AATGCGACCTGCACCTCGAGTAAACGAGTCAAAACCACCCAATTCTTTAAGAATTATAACAAATTATCTTATCTGTAATGATCCAGGTGCCATTTACTGACAGGGACACCGGAGAGGGTTATCTGAGCCGAGATCATGTGAGGTGATATCTACCATACATCAATGCTCACAATACTTACAATATTGACAATGCTTTTGCTTACAACACTTACAATACTTACGATGAGACCAGCAAGCACTCTGCCGTTACAGTTCTAACTTCTGTTTCGAAAAACGACGTTACACACATTCGCTGCCAGCATAACATGCATTGTTTGACAGTAACAAAATACAATTGACATCTGAACCCCAAACGGACCGCCATCCACTCAAATTTTATAAACCTGACCGGTCAGGGGGCGAATGGAGGTCATTTCCTGGGCATTACACTCAGCCCTTGCACCAAATATCTCACCTCACAGTGATCATTACAACAATAGCACCGACTTGATAGTGGATTTCAAAGTACTTGCATCAGCTCTTCCTGCTATTGCAGACGATCATCTCCTCAGGGTAATGTTCGGGACATGAACGAAGATCGTTTTCGGAGTTTCATAAGTGCTACTGCAACAGCCTGGCACAAAACAGGACTTGTACGCTCTTCTCTGCACTTTGCCCTTCAGTATATCACAAAAGAATTGTTTAGAATCCATCTTACGCTTCTTTCACAGTCTCCCTTGCCACCGTAGGGCGTAGATAGATTGCTGTTGCTGGTAAGTTAAGGCACGGTAGATAGAAATTACCTCGGTTCTCAACGCCTTAAGTTATTTTCATAAAAAAGAACAAATAAATGATCAATAAGATGACAGGAATGTAAACATTTTAATCGTAAAGTAGTCCAAATATTGGAATGAGCTTTTGCTTTTCAGCATCCTCCGATTCATCATCTTTATCATTTGAAAATTCGAGGTACATAAAATGTTTATCACGCGCTCATGTTAAGTGGGAATATAGTACACGGCAGACACATCAATTTTTGACACTGAACATTTCATCCGTAAATGTTTTAACATAATTTAAAGTTAAAAACAGCGCGAATGGCAGAGTGAAGCAAACAACATCTTTCACCCATTGCTATAACATGTAATCTGTGGTGCGCCAGATGCGCCATTATTTGTCAACCGCAGAAGGTGACATGTGACGTAACAGCATCAAGAGCATCTTTTTTCAAGAACTTTTCAAAACAAGTTTCCTATCTTTCTTCCCCCATTTCTCTCAGCTTATTGATTTTATGAGGCAATGGTATGCACCATAAATTCTGTGAAAATAGTTTGATCATTTTCATGCATTCTTAAAAAATCGAGTTCCCAACCCCATTGCCACAAATCGAGTTAGAAAAATGTTACGTCATCAATTTTGAACAGTTTTTCGCTATAACTTGGCCAAGAAAAGAGGTATCGATCTCAAATTTGGTATGTAGATAGAAGGCGGTAGGGACTATCATATATTTTCCGTTTTTTTTATATGTAAAAAAAATTTGTTGGATTTTTCGGCTATTATATTAAAAAAAAACTATTTTTGATTTTTAGGGGTCAAAATCAAAAAAAAATAAAAATCATGGTAGCGGTGTTGTAGCCCTTTTAATTCTACATCTTTAATGTTTGAAACATTTTTTATGTATCTCTAAAGCTGTAGGCCTGACAGCTCTTCCCGCGAAACCTTTTTTTGGGTAGAAAATGGCAAAAATGACGTCACTCTGACGTCATTAGCGACCAACCTATCATAGCCTTTGGAGAAATTTAGTCACAATGTGCAATAGCTATTCACGGGAGGGTACTGAAAGTTTGGTGACGATCGGCGCAGCGGTTCTGGAGATATATCGAAAAAACTAAAGGGGAATGCCTCCCCCCACCGCCTGGAAGGTTAATGCCAAATTCTGGTTCATTTGCCTTGTCTCGAAAAATAGAACACGATGCCAGTTCAACTAATCTCGTGCAGGTCTAAGCTAAAAGTTATTACAGATAAACACCCTCCGCGAAAACGTATATTTTGAGGCTGAGACGTTTTTCTTAGGTAAAATCTGAGATAACGTATAGGAAAGAGCATAAAAAGAGCTATCGAATGCGCTTTGCTGCGGCGCTGTGGCTCAATCTCTTTGGTCCTGACTTATGCGCCTCCTTGTCGAAAAATGTTAAAATCGGCGAAATTTGATTTTCGGTTGTCTCCGGTGACCTGACCTTCGACCAGTTCGACCTAACCTTAAAAATGATCTAAGTAGTTTTGTAATAGTTTTCGACGCTCTTTCGAACGCCGCCTTCTGCGTGTCTCGACGTGACCCACAAGCTGAGTTAGAAGTGGGTGCTCAAACACCCCCAACACGTTCAATAAAAAAACGCGTGAGCTAGGGGCGGCACCGCATTGCTTGGCGGGGGCGGCATCGCAATAATGGGTGGCACTGCGCTGAGGTACACCACTTGAATTGAGGGGTGGCATTGTACGGTGAAGGGGAGGTATCGCAACGAGGGGTGGCACTAACGAGGCTGCCTTATAAGAAACGCTTGGCACATCCTAGCCCAGCTCGGCGCCGCCTGGCTGCTGCATCTTGAAAAGGGCCTTTGGTGTCGATGAGCAAGCCCCATTACATATATAAAAATCAAAATGTCTGTATGAAACGCGTCAGTCACGCTTTAAGGGCTATTGCTCCGGAACGGTGCGGGCTACGGGGGTGGAATTTTGGACTAAAGTCGGACGCGTGCATCTGTTTGTCGTATTAAATTTTGGTGGGGGTGCGCTCGCCGGTTTGCACGTGGCGGGCGCATCTTTGCGATATTTTGGCCGCGGCCGGCTTTGAGCAGACGGCACGCGCCCTAGGCTCAGATTGTTCGCTGCGAAAATGAGGGAAAACAGAGTCGGAGGTCGTTGACCTTTGGCAATGAATACCGGAACAGAGCACCGCCGGCCAAGAGGAGACGCAACATTTATTCTGGCAATAACTCGGCCGCTACTGGGCCGATTTTATTGAAAATTGATTTATTACGCTGCGCGTAATTCACATATATAAAAATCAAAACGTCCGTATGTATGTATGTATGTATGTATGTATGTATGTATGTATGTGACGCGTCAGTCACGCTTGGCGGGCTATTGCTCCGGAACGGTGCGGGCTACGGGGGTGAAATTTTCGACTTAAGTCGGACGCGTGCATCTGTTTGTCGTATCAACTTTTCGAGGGGGTGGGTTCGGTGGCTTGCACGTGGCGGGCACATCTTTGCCGCATGTTGGGCCGCGGCCGTCGCCGATCAGAGAGCACGCGCATTAGCCTCAGTTTCTTCGCTTGCAAAACTGAGCGAAATCAGAGCCGGAAGGTCACTGACCTTTGGCAATGAATACCGGAACAGGGCACCGCCGGCCAAGAGGAGACGCCAAATTTATTCTGGCAATAACTCGGCCGCTACTGGGCCGATTTTAATGAAAATTGACTTATTACGCTGCGCGTAATGCTGTCCCTCTAGTTGTCAAATAATTACCTAGTGTCAGTGGTTTCAGGGGGCGGGGGCGCTATCGATCTTGAATGGGGCGGGGCGACTGAAGTCTCCATTCAGATGGGCGTCAGCGTCTACTGGAGGGCGCCAACGACCTCGAATACGGCGAATGTGATCTTCAGAAGGGCACCGGGTGCTCTAGATGGGTGCAGTGCTTGGATGGGGTCACTGCTGCCTTCAGTAGGGCGTCGGACGGTCTGGATGGGCGCCATTCATCTCGGATGGTCCGACTGGGATTTTCAGAGGGGCACCAGTGTTTCAGAGGGGCGCCATTGATCTAGGATGGGCCAACTGAAATTCCGGTTCTGGTGGGCGCCAGTGGCTCTTGAGCGGCGCCAGCGAACTCGGATTGATGGGGGCGACTGTGATCTTTAGAAGGACGTTGAAGGCGCCATTGGGCATGGATGGGGCCACTGTTGCCTTCAGCAGGGCGCCGGACGCTCTGGAGGGGCGCCTTGAGCTTGGGTGGGGCGATTGTAGTCTCAAGGGGCGTTGTCTCGGATGGGGCGAATGTGATTTTCAGAGGGACGCCGGGTACCTACTCTAGAAGGGCGCCATTGGTTTCAGAGGGTTGCCATCGATTGTAAGATGGGGCAGCTGTAATCTCCGTTTAGATGGGCGCCAGTGACTTTTGAGGGGCGCCAACGACCTCGGATGAGGACGACTGTGATCTTCAGAGGCGCGCCGGACGCTCTGGAGGGGCGTCATTGGGCTGGAATGGGGCGACTTTAGTCTCAAGCGGGACGACTTCGGTCTCAGGGGGGGGGGGGCGCTAGTGGATCTTGAGGGCGCTATTGATTTCGGATAGGGCGACTGTGATCTTGAGAATAGTGCGGGTGCTTTAGAGGGGCGCCAGTGGTTTCATGGGGCGCTATCGATCTTAAGGATGGGCCGATTGGGGGAAGCTGTGAACTTCAGAGGGGCGCCGAGTGCTCTGGAGGGGCGCCATCAACCTTTAATGGGGCGACTGTTCCGTTCAGATGGGTGTCAGCGGCTCTTCAGGGGCGCCATCGACCCTGGGGATTCGGAATATTCTGGTTTCCGGAGGGGCGCCCTTCAACATTGAGGGGCTCCTGTCCTATTTCGGGGTGCCCTGGAGAACATTGGGGTGTCCAGGCACCCCCCCCCCCCCTCAAAGAGATATTGAGCTCGATCCCTGCCTGCACATCACTTTTTAATTCATGTTCCCTCTGTAAAACGGCATCAGCCTAGTCGGCGCTAATTGGGGCGCCATCTGGGCGGCTGGGCGGAAAGGGGGGGCCATGGCCCCCATGGCCCCCATGGCCCCCCTAAACACGCCACTGCATACAGCCACCTGAGTCAGACGGTCACTGAGACAGGTGGTGATCTGAGGCATACTGTCAATGAGACATACAGTCACCTGAGACTGACAGCCACCTGTGTCTACTCCGGCAGCGCCCTGGAACCTGACGTCGGGCGGCGGCCCGAGCCGGCTGCCACCGCCGCCGCCGGGCCGGATCATGGGCGGACCGCCCGGCCGGTTCATGGAGCCGCCGGGCCGGTTCATGGGCGGACCTCCGGGCCGGTTCATGGGCGGACCGCCGCCGGGCCGGTTCATGGAGCCGCCGTTCCGTCCGAACCGGATCCCTGTCATCCACATGGACGACGACCAGGGTGAGACGTGGCGCCGGCGCCGACACAGAGTGAGACCACAGGGTGAGACGTGGCGCCGGCGCCGACACAGGGTGAGACGTGGCGCCGACGCCGACACAGGGTGAGACGTGGCGCCGGCGCCGACACGGGGTGAGACGTGGCGCCGACGCCGACACAGGGTGAGACGTGGCGCCGACGCCGACACAGGGTGAGATGTGGCCCCGGCGCCGACACAGGGTGAGACGTGGCTCCGGCGCCGACACAGGGTGAGACGTGGCGCCGACGCCGACACAGGGTGAGACGTGGCGCCGGTGCCGACCAGGGTGAGACGTGGCGCCGGCGCCGACACAGGGTGAGACGTGGCGCCGGCGCCGACACAGGGTGAGACGTGGCGCCGGCGCCGACACAGGGTGAGACGTGGCGCCGGCGCCGACACGGGGTGAGACGTGGCGCCGACGCCGACACAGGGTGAGACGTGGCGCCGACGCCGACACAGGGTGAGATGTGGCCCCGGCGCCGACACAGGGTGAGACGTGGCTCCGGCGCCGACACAGGGTGAGACGTGGCGCCGACGCCGACACAGGGTGAGACGTGGCGCCGGTGCCGACCAGGGTGAGACGTGGCGCCGGCGCCGACACAGGGTGAGACGTGGCGCCGGCGCCGACACAGGGTGAGACGTGGCGCCGGCGCGGACACAGGGTGAGACGTGGCGCCGACGCCGACACAGGGTGAGACGTGGCGCCGGCGCCGACACCGGGTGAGACGTGGCGCCGACGCCGACACCGGGTGAGACGTGGCGCCGACGCCGACACAGGGTGAGATGTGGCCCCGGCGCCGACACAGGGTGAGACGTGGCTCCGGCGCCGACACAGGGTGAGACGTGGCGCCGACGCCGACACAGGGTGAGACGTGGCGCCGGCGCCGACACACCTGCACTTACACACCGCGAGCTGACGGCGCTCACATTATTACCTTTTTTCTTCGGGTTAGGCCCTTTCGGTCCAATGAGACCAGTTTAGGGCCGGAAGGTTGATAGGAATTAGGGGGTATTGGTGTGGGCAGGCACCCTAGTGAGTCATCGGGGCCGAGCCCGTCCGAATGGACAGGCCGACCAGCCCAAAAGTAGGCACTGATTGCACCAGGCCACGGGTGTGCTCCCTCGGGAGCAGCGGTGCCGCTCCAAGGGAGCAGCCCGCACTAGATAAAGTTGCTTGTCCAGCCCGTGGGAGGGTTGCGGCATGGAGCAGCAGGATTTGAACATCCTGAGGATGGAAGCGACGGACGAGTCGGGGGGCTCACACGTGCCATCTGCGCTACATGGACATGTTTTTGACGACGTTTGGTAGACACCCATGGAATGGGCACATGCAGTTCAATAGCGCATTGATCAGTGGAATTTCAATGGAAATACGTTAGTTTCAGCAATCAGTAATCCTATATTCTAATGCACGTGCGCACGTGCAGAATGCCGCTTCCAGAGCTCAGGAACGGCTGGGCCGATTGCGTTCAAATTTGGCACACCGCTAGCGACCGGTTAGAAGGGTGCTTTGACCGTTAGAAGGGTGTCCGTTGGAGGTACCCTCTCGCCCTTCCGCACGTGCAGGGCTCACAATCTCGCTCGCTCGTTCTTCGCCCAAAAGGCGTTTTACTGGTTTTTAGCACGTGCTATTTTTGTCATACGTGCTAAAAATGACAACGATTCTGCTATTTTTGACAACGATGAAGCCGATTTCACTCCTCAGCAAGGAAATCACGATTTTGGAAAGACAAGCACTGATTTTGGAAAAGATGTGCTGCCACCTGGTGCAAAAAGAAGAAGCCAGCTTTAAAGGCCTGGCTACACATTGCGTTTTCTTCGTGCGTTTTTTGAGTGTTTGCGTGTTTTGCGTGATATCGTTCTAGAAAAAGGAACGATATTACGTTTTCGTGATGTTTTTAACCTTAAATTTTAGTTACATAAGAGTTATATTAGCTTTTGTATATAATCAAAATAAAAATCTTATTGTTTATAACTTTTTTCCTAGAACGATATTACGCAAAACACGCAAACCTGCAAAAACGCACGCAGAAAACGCATAGTGTAGCCAGGCCTTAATGTGCCCATTGTTTGTATTAGAGACGTCAATCGGATACCAACTTTTTGGTATACCGATACCAAACCGATACCAACTCGGTATTTGGTATTTCAATCGTAATGTGTTTGGTATTTTGTTGGTATCATAAGCCCTCACTAATGTATAAGAGGCTAAGAAATCGGTAAAAAGTTGGTATTTCCCTCAGATTCCCAAGTTGGTTTGGTTTCGGTATTTTCCCGTGGTTTTGGTTGGTGTTTGGTTTGGTATCGGTATTCCGATTTTCCGTAATTGACATCACTAGTTTGTATGGTAGTTTGTTTTGTGGCCTGAAGTTGGAACTTAAAATTGAAGCATCCGAAAATGATCGATACCTATTGATCGAAAACATGATGTTGATGAAAAAATATGTTAAATTGAGAGAGTAGACCATTTTATCCAGATGCGGTGGTTTACTAATTACTTCTTGAAATTATTTCTTGCTGATGACGGCCGCGCATCATCCGTCATTACATGGCGGTCGTCATAAGCAAATATGATTTCAAGAAGTAAACCACCGCATCTGGATAAAATAGCCTCCTCTCTCAACTTCACACATTATCTCTTCAGTAAAATTATGTTTACGTTAGCAAAATTATGTTAGGGTGGCGGTCCGTCCAAAGCTCCGGGGAGTTATCCCACAGCTCTCCCCGGACGGGGAGGTAGCCAACAGATCTCCCCGGGGCCGGGGCGGACATAGCCAATGGTGCCGTCCCGGCCTGGCCGGACGGGCCGCACATACGAGGCCTGATCAAAAAGTATCCGACCTTTGTCCCCAGACAATAACCGCGAATGCTTACAGAGTTCGAACTGTATTCTCACTCAAAGTACGCCCCTTGCAACTCTACACACTTAGCCCAGTTGCCCTTCCATTGCTGGAAGCACTGTGAGAAGTCATTCTTCGCGATCGCCAACAGGGCCATTGTCGCATTCGTCTTGATCCCCTCTGTGTCCTGAAATCTTGTGCCTTTCAGCGACATTTTCAAGTGGGGGAACAGCCAGAAGTCACATGGGGCCATATCAGGTGAGTGTGGGGCCTGCCGCACCTGCGTGATGCCGTGCTTGACCAGAAACTCCTGTACGAGATGGGCTGAGTGGGCTGGTGCTTTGTCATGGTGAAGCTGCCAGTCCTGCGTCGCCCACAACGCCGGTCTCTTACGCCGCACCGCGTCCCGTAGATGACGCAGAACTTCCAGATAGTATTGTTTGTTGATCGTCTGACCTTCTGGAGCATACTCATGATGAACAACACCCTGATCGTCACCGTCGTCAACACCAATTTCAGGATTTCTGCTCGTCGAGGGCCTGCCAGGCCGCATGTCGCTCTCTACTGACCCTCGACCGTTCTTGAAGCGGTTGTACCAGAACTTGATTTGGGTAACGCCCATCGCTTCATCGCCGAACGTCAGCTGAACTTTTCTGATAGTGTCGGACTGCGTTTCCCCAAGTTTCTGACAAAATTTGAAGCAATATCTTTGCTCATTTCTTTCGGTCATCTTGACGCTGGGAGGAAATGCGACGACCGAGCAGTACGCACGTGCATACAAGCAACGCTGGACAGTGACTGAGCTGGGGCCGTATTCACGTCGACTTCGTAAGTCGATTTTCTTTCGTAAGCATAATTTTGTATTCACGTCGACACTTCTTAAGTTTTTATCGACGGAATTCACGTGATTAAAAAAATTTACTTAAGAAGTAGGTCAAACTTAAGAAAATTATTACGAAAATGATCGACGTGAATACGGCCCCTGGACGTGGACGCTGAAAATATGTGTGCACGTGCACAACGAAAGGTATCATCCAGACAGGGTATCACACACCTGAGCCTGATGGCCTTCGAGCAAACCAATGGGGTCGGATACTTTTTGATCAGGCCTCGTACAACTGTGGATACGCCAGACAGTTGTGATTCGAAAGTGTCCTGTTTTATATTGTGTTGTGTTGGGCCATTGTTATGTAAATAAATATTACCAGTATAACGCCTTTTGTGGCGACTAACGGAGCGAGCGAGAGGGTGGGCCTTGCACGTGCGAAATTGCGAGGGGGTACCTCCAACTGACTTGTGCACGGCACCTTACTAACCGGTCTCTAGCGATGTGCCAAATTTGAGCACAATCGGCCCAGCCGTTCTCGAGATCTGGAAGCGGCACCCTGCACGTGCGCACGTGCAAAATGGGTCCCAACTGACTTGTGCACGGCACCCTACTAACTGCTCCGTAACCGTGTACCAAATTTGAGCGCAATCGGTCCAGCCGTTCTCGAGATCTGGAAACGACCCCTGCACGTGCGCACGTGCAGCAGCACCCCAACTCTGGCACATGGATATGCATTGCCTAGTGGGTGCCTACCTACATGCCAACTCTCAGCGCAATCGGCCCAGTAGTTACCGAGATATTGCAACAATTACAAAAGTGACACCTCTTGGTTTTGCACGTGGCACGTGCATAAGGGGTCACCCACATGCATCGGGAATAGTGCAATACTTGGTAGAAGGAATGAAGCTACCCTACAAAAATTACCGCATGTAAATCGGTCAAGTGGTTGCTGAGATATAAGCCTCGCAAAAGCGGGAATCGGATTGCGCTTTACGAGGAAACGAGTGCGCCGCCGATGTACACGGTGCGCTTAGATTGGACTGCGCTTTTCCTGCGTTTTTGCACAGGAAAATGCGCCTGGACTGGAAAGAAAGTAAAATGCCGCATAATCTTCAAACGCTCGATGCCACTGAATGAAATATGCATGTATTATGCTCAGGAACATGGCAAAGTAATAATATGACTTAAATGCATTAAATTTGAGCAAACACAGCGTCGAAATTCGCTCATGTTTTTAAGTGCGCTTATACTGACGAAAATGCGCCGTGAGTGGAAAATCAGCAATTTCCCTCAATACTAGTGGACATTTTTAAAA